ACCATTTGGATCATAAATGTGACAGGAATTATGCATAAATCATACCAAATATCTATTCCTCAACATTTGAGCTACTCTAAGTAGATCCTGGCTCAAAGAAGGTATGTAAAGAACATTAGAGATGTATTTGGTACCTTTCTTTGATTGAACAACCATTGTGCCTCTTCCTTTTGATTAAACTGTAAAGCCATTGCCCAACTTGACGTTAATCTTCACTAAATTGTCCAATTTGTAAAAAGGTCCTTATCTTTCACCATATGACAAATGCAACCATTATCAACAAGCCATGAGTGGTTGTTACTAAAGGAGTTATCATGCAAGGCCACAAACCAGTGATCTTCACCATAATCATCAATGAAATGTGCTTGTTGAGTTTTTTGTTTTGGCTTATACTGATTTTGCTTAGCTATGTAGTATCTTTGAATGTGACCATGCTTCTTGCAAAACTTGCACTAAACCTAAGGCTTTCCCTTATACTAGCAATCTTTTTTTTTTTTTTCATGATTTATTCTCTTACAAGTAAGATATGGTGGAAATTTGTCCTTCAACTACTATGATTCAACATCAACAGCTTTTCCTCTTTCAACTTTACTAGAAAGCTGCCTTCTTCCATGACCAATTGCATGTTGCTTTTCCTTTGCTTGGAATGCACCTTCAGTTGTATCTTCAACTCTTAGGACAACTCATTTTTCATGAGCTTGCAACTTGCCCATTAATTTGACAATTGTTAGCTCCTTCAAGTCATAAGACTCCTTAATTATAGGGATTTTTTACTTAAACTTGTCAAGAAAGCTCACCAACATTTTTTCCACAACCATGTCATCAAGTAAGTCCTCATTATTTGATCTGATTTGATTAACTAGATCCGTCACCTTTGAATAATACTAATGAACAGTCTCTGTATCATTCCTCTTCAATATAATAAACTCTCTTTTGAGAGTAACCATGTTTTCGCCTTTGACCCTTTTATCTCCTTTGTATTCCTTCTTCAAAGTTCCCCTTGCAACTTGAGCTGTCTCATCTTTCATAATCCTAGAAAACATTTCATAGAAATCAACTTTGTATGTGTAGAAGATAGCAGTTAGCCGTTATGCCTTTTAATTTGTAACTATTCTTTTTAGTTTTTTGCAGTTAATATTCATGTTTTTTGGTAGTTTTCTTTTGCAAAAATTGCTATGTACAAGTTGCATATATTTTCTACACTCTTATGTCTTGAGATGAATTTGAAATGAAAGAGGGCTCCATTTCAAAGAAGCTCTAGCTTTGAATTTTCTTAGCTCTTTATTAACTACTGCTAGATAAAAAACTTGCAATTGGTATTAGAGCCAATGGCATAGCAAAGCTA